TATTTATATCCCTGGTATTTGAACTATGAGTTGTGGCCCACAAACAGTTTGGTGTTTTTGTACAATAAAATATTTAGTACTCCAAGCTTGTTCTTTTTTAATCAAATTTATTTGATAGGGTCTTGCATTTTTGCATAATAGTGGAATTAATTTTTATTCGGTGTCGATACAGGCAAATGGGTAATAATAATAGCTAGTATTTTATACTGCATCATATTAAGAATGTGTCAATTAAATACTGAATGCCTTGGTATTCAAACAATAGTCACAATATAATGACATACTTTGATAAGATATGTTCCTTCTTTGTCTGGTGATACATTGACTGACTTCTTAACCATTTAGGTGTTTTTAATCGAAATATGTAAACTGTTTCCATAAGGAAAATTTTCATGAAAATGGTGGGTTGCCAAGTTAGCTATGCTTAAATAAAAGGTTACCATATCAAAAATTTAAATATTATTATTAGGGATGTGTATACTGTACTAATATACTTCTACTCATTGAATTCAATTTAGCTGTTTTAGAAATGTTAGAATGAAATAGATTACTAAATGTTTGATATGAACAGTTATCATAAAATGTATGATACATTTATTTATTCGCAGCATGTGCGAGAACTTTCACGACGACAGTACGTTGTACGAGCACTCATGCAAAAGGCACGTGCCAAGGCGGGACTGACGGTACACTGATGTATAAGATGGTTTAGTGCGATAGTTAATAAATTTACAATGATAATAATTTAATACACACATGCACACACATTACAAATATAAACATATAATAACATAATAATGATATATAACTGCTTGCATGTGTGTAATAAATTTTGAAAAAAGAGTTTTGAAGTATGATGGGGTTATAACCTTATTCTGCATTTAGAATTATTTAAATTTGTTGGTAAATATTTTCTTTAAGTCTGGTTTCCTTAAAATGGCTACACTGTCGGTACAGTGTTTTCAGTGCAGTTGATGTAATGCGTAGCTGTCCCTGACACCATCAAAAAGGCTCCCCGATTCGACCGACTAATTAACATCAACGAAATCTATTGGTGATGACGTGTAGCGATTGTATGGAAACCAAGCTTAACAATAATGATGATGTTATAGACTTGTATTTACTATAGCGCCTTCCACAATCAACTTTTCTCAAGTAAAAAAAGTACTTTTAAGAAATTATTTCTGAAAAAAAAGACTAACAAAAAGAAAAAACAGCAAGATAACCACACACACAGCACCATTTCACCAACCTTCCATATTGCCAACCAGCTAATCATTCCGCTAGTATAATGGCATTTAATCAACCAAAAAAATAAGGAAGAAATTGTAAAAAATGATATGAAAAAAATATGAATAATGTATTTATTAAATATGAAATGTATAAAAAGTTTGAAGTATAAATGTGTGGGTAAGTTAGACCATGGAGGAATGAAACATAAAATTTTCCACAGTTAGAAAGTGGTAGGTTTTCAATAGTTTGAATAGACAAACTGTAACAGACGAGGCTTTGTGAATATTAGTTGGTCGTGAGTACCATAACTTCAATGGAAAAGGCTTCATCATCAAAAGTCTTGAGATACAATATTTTATGGAATAGATTTGTTGGTCGTTGACATTAAAGAGTAAGTTTGAGATCACAAGTTGGAAAATTTATTTTGGAGATTAAGTCTTGTATATTTTCTTTTTAATTAAATTCAATTTTGGGTTGAAGAAAATACCAGATAGTAAGTCCAAGGATTAAAACAAGGGTTCTCATCTATTTTATATCAGTAGACAAGTTTGTAGATTGAATCAAGTTTGTCCATCAATCATGCAGTCTAGAAGGGGGTGTGACTACTCCCACATTAAACAAATGGTAATATAGTGTGAAATGTTGCAATAGCATGCCTAGTGGTTTTTAACTGTTAATTGTTTAGGCTTGTAATAACAGGCCAGATAAGATGCCCTTGCGGACCACAAGGAAACCAATGGAGTGAAACGTTCGCATTACTGTACAGCTAGAAATAGAAAGATTGTTAGATTGTTTATTAACTCTAGATTTTAAAATTATTTAAAAAAAAATTGTATACTACATGAAATTCAGATGCTGATCCTTTTTGATGTTGAGCACTTCAAGTGCAAGTCTGACAGGTAAAGTATGTCCTTTACTTTTAGGTATGAGAGACAAGACAAGTAATATTCATCTTTGTTGATTGTGAACTAGGAAAACTATAATCAGGTTTGCTATGGGTTGTTTTTTAGGGGGAAGAGATTTTAGTGGTTATTTTGCTTCATATTTTTTGGGTACAAAAGGTGCATCTAGTCTACAAGGTGTTGAGCCTGCTTGAATATTGTTTATTTTTTGGATACAAAGCCACTACTACTTTTTGACTATCAGGCCGAAATTTTATTGATGGGTGTGTAGCATAATACGCTGTATCAAGTTGGAAATTAATATTGTTCAAATTTATTTTTTATTGAGCAAATGAATGAATGAAGAAAAATCTTGCTTAATATGTTTTTGGGGTTTTGTTTTTCTAAATGTCATTGTGACTGAGAACACTTGATGTTTTGCTTGGTTTCAGAAACAAGAACAAAACAGTTTCCAAATTTATATATTTTATTAGATAATCCTTTTGACCATTCATGATTCTGGTTCAACTTAGCATTCATGTATACCATGACATACATAAAAAATATTTTGGTCCTATCAACCATTACATATAGGAATTATATCTCTTCATATGTATTGAAAAATATGGTTTGGTGGATTCAAATTATTGAAAATAAATTTAGAAACTAACATATTTGGTCACACTTCTCTTTTATTTATTTCATTGTCTTTGTTGTTGCCGTTATCACCAACTTAATGTGGTCTTGGAAGAATTTGTTTTTCTTTATTTAACAATAATCATATGAGAGCATATATACAAGTAAATAAATGCTACACAATGACAACAAACAATTTTACTGTACATTTATTTTATTAATTCCTTAATTCAACAGTCCAGAATAGAACTTACTTTCTGAACAATCTGATGCCTTTAATGACCTTTCCACTAAGGTCCCACAAAACAACAGTCCAAAATACGCAAACACGCGTGCTTGTCAGACGCATCAGAAAGGTCCATTGCTATGCTACCAAGCTTTATTATCATGGTATCATATTCAACAAAAAATGTCATCGCAGTTAACAGTAATGTAGGCCTAACGTAAAAGGGATTTTTTATTCGAGGGAGGCGTTTATTTTTTTGGTGTAAAATGGATACCTAATATAGTAATAATTTCACTGTAAAAGTGGAACTACAACACATAATTACCGTCAAAATGTATTATTGCGTTATTATAAAGATCCAGGTTAGAAAAAAGTAATTCTACGGGAATAAAACATTAATAAAATGTGTTGAGAATGATGTTCTCTCAACATTGACTTGTTTATAGTCATTTAGGGGAAGTTTATTCGAGGAAAAAAAACGCCTCGAAGAGTTTATTCGAGGGAGGCGTTTATTCCAAATGAGGCTCTAGAGAGGGAGCGTTTATTCAAAGCAGGGCGTATATTCGTATAAATACGGTAACTGAATTGGGGCATTAACGCAATTGTAACACTCATTATAAAAATTTCTAACAGGATAGTATAAATAGAATTAAAAACTACCACTACTGCAATATTTAATCAAAAACATTAAAAGTATTACTAAAAAATATTAAAATTGTTATTGTAATATTTTTTTAGTATTTACAAATCCTTCACAAATTGAGATTACATTTACAGATTAAAAATTACACTTAAAAAAAAAATTTAAACATAACATAATAAAAAAATACCATTACTGCTATATAATGCTACATTGATGAGGTAATTGTTTTTTTAATTTAAAAAAAATTAAAAAAAATTAAATTAAAAAAAATAAATTTAATTAATTAATTAAATGTATTTATTCAGAGTTTAATTATTATATATTATTATTATTCCTCCTATTATTAAGATAGAAAACTGCATCGATAAAATCTATCCTCTAATACAACATTTTATCAAAAGTGCATATATGTATTTATTCTTAATAATTTCTTATACCGAACAATGATAAGCTGATAATATTTTTTCCACTCGTTTATAATTATGTCTGAAATATCCAATGCATTGTTTTGCAAATAAAGTAATATAATTCCTGGTAACCTTAATGAACATAGTATTATATATCTGTATACTCTAAAGGCCATTGTGGTTAATTTCAAAGATGGAACTACCCTAATTAAAGAAAGTAAACATGAATCAGAGGCATTTATAGTATACAAGACATTTAACAATAAAATTATAAAAGCTATCAATACTACAGTGTGATTTGAATTTAAACAATTAACATCCGAGCAAAAAAACAGCCTCCAAAGGTATATGAATATTACTTAACAATTCATTTGTCATAGAACAATAGCTATGAATGGAGTAACCCTGGCTTTGGTAACTTTGCTTGCATTACCTCTGTATTCATCATTATAAACAATATTAGATAAATCAAGTTCAAGTTTATTTAAAGTCATATACGCAACTTCCAAAAGAAGTTGAGTCGCATGGATTTGTACATATATTTGTATATATATAAATATATATGAGATGTTCCAGATCATCTATGACGTAGTGTGCTCTATATCTCAGATAGAGCTTAATAGAAATAAAACAATAGCAAGTTCATCTGCTATTGTTTTATTTCTATATATTACATATATACATTTACTTGGTGCAGCTCTTATTCATCTGGCTTGCTTTTCCACGTTTATTTATCATAATACATAAAGTAAGACGAGACTGAACACCTTAAATGATGTCGAAATTTAGAAAGTTGGCCAGCACGAGAAGTAAATGGAAACATGCTGTACAACGAATAAGCAAGGCAGCCCAGGCAGAGAAATCAGATGATTACTCGACGAAGAGGCAATAAAGTAAGTAAAGTAGTACAAAGTAACACAATACACAATATGATAAAATATTTATATTCTATATATATAGAATAATATACTGTTGTTTTGGTTGGACAGTCCCTGGATAACAATAACTCATGAATTTGTTCTGATATTTCATTGCCTTTTAGGCTTATTTTCTTGCCTTTTAATATACCCATCTTACAGCATTCATTTATCATGGCATCAACAATAGTATCGGACAAACTACATTTTTTCATACTCAAAACTGACAAATTTGGGAATTTTTCAATGAATTTAGCTAATGCGCTACCACTGATTGAAGATAGGTTAGTGCCACTTAAATCAACACCAGTCCATGTGAATATGTCACTCTCATCGCTTGAATTTACAAGATAGTGTAGGTGATCAACTGATAGATTATAATCACTCCATCTTAATTTTGAAGGATCATAAAGTACATTATACATTATGTATAATAAGTTAACAAATGACTTACCATCATCGATATCTGACAGATCATTGTTTCTTAAGATAAACTTTATTCTTATTGGTAAATCATTTATATGCCTATTTAATTTATTCATATTATCGTGAGCAATGGCATGTGCTAATCCTTTCTTTTTAGACGATTGGTGTTTATAATCCTCATAACATTTACTCAACATATCACGGACAAAGGTGCCAGTTATACTGCACTTGCTCATATCAATATAGGTTAGGTTAGGAAACCTATTAATAAAATTAGCTATTGTAGAGCCACTGACTGAAGAAAGGTTAGTGTAACGTAAATCCACGATCTCAAACCTAAATCTTATATCCTCATTACTTGAAGTTACTAAATCCTGTATGTTTTCAGCTGATAAACTATAATCTTTCCACCTTAATGTTGTTGATTTGATTGTATTTAATAAATTAGCGAGAGATTGACCATCAATATTAGAAAGGTCATTTGCTCGTAATACAAATCGTTGCAATATTTCACCATTCCAATTATATTCATTGAGCATACTACTAACAGCAGTACCAGATAGTTCACAATCACTCATATCAAGTACCTTCAAATTTTTCAGTCTTTTTAGCAAGTCACCAAATAATGTTCCATTAATATCAGCTAAATTATTGAAGCTTATGTCAAATTGCTCTAGTTCTAAAAGCACTTTACTCTCAGTGTTTTTTAACTGAGTAATGATTGTATTAAAAAATTCACCTGAGAGGTTACAACCACTCATTTCAAGAACCTTTAATTTAGGAGCCATTTTCAATATTTCGAACAAATGTGCTCCACTAATACCGCTCAGGTCCACGTAAGAAAAAATAAATGCATGTATTTCATTGTTCAAATGATGTTCCTCCCATTCCTTTGAGAAAATGTTGATGGCCGCATCACCCCATTTTTCAACACTTTCTGGTATATATACATCATAACTTTCATTTAGGAATAAGTCATGTTTTAGTATTTGTAAAATGAGTGAGAGGTGAGCTACTACTCTACATGTGTTTTCAGATTGCTGTTCATTTGACGTATCTATAATATCTTTAATGTCATCTATAACTGTAAGATGATTTTGTTCATATCTATCACAAAGTGTTCTCATGAGCTGTACTAAATGTTTTTTTTCATACTTGGGTATTCCGTCCTTGCCATTACGACTATATAGAAAAAAACCTCTGAATGATTCAGTTAAACTGTCAACGTGTACTTTCATTTCTGTGGGCATGTGTTTATCGATTGCTTTTATTACAGCTTCTTCTGATTTTACATATTTAAAATATTTTGCTAGTGAGTAATAATTTGCGGCGTTTTTTACCAACCAGTGTTTCATTAATTCGCCAGCATTGCCATCTAAGAATCCAATAGCAAAAACTCTGGTCTTATGCAGATAATTGTTGGACCTTATCGATTCGGATTCTTTACCATCCAGACTCCCTTGGTTACATTTATCTGACAAGTAAAACCCTGCTAGTGCCTCTGAAAGTAACCTGTGGGGGGTTTCATAAATTTCACTATAATCTTTTTGATGAACAAGCTCACGTTTATAAACAAATCCCAGTTTGAGTGCCAAATCTACTAATTCGGTCTTTTTCACATATGTTTTTAACGCATTTTTGTCAACATAAACTGTATTATTTGTTTTTAGACCTTCATAAATAGTCCTTCCTAATGCCAAAATAGCTCTAGAATATTCCGTTGGGATACTGTTAAAATATATTACTTTCTTTTCATTTTTCTTGTCAATGTACTGATTTAAAATGGTGAGCAAAACCTCTCTAAAAATATCTGTCAAATCCGTAGGAATATTTTTTGTTCGTTGCCAGATTGTACATATATTCAGCAATAACAAAGGCGATGAGCACAAGTTAAAGGATTCTTCGTGGCCCCTACCCCACATGCTTCTACCCCACATATCTTTATAATCCGAATCTAGATTGAATTCAGAAATCAATGAAGTTCCCATCTCTGGTTGTTTGTAAAAATTAAAGTAATTCTGTATATACTGCTTTATGTTGGTTGGACTGAATCCGTTAACTCTTACATGTACATCACATTCTTTACGAAATATAATTGTATTTTCTGGTCGAGATGTTAGGATCACTGTGCTGCTTTTAAATTCTTGGCCATTAAATAGGCGTTCTGGACCTTTGGCACCAGATTGTAACTCGTCCAATCCATCTAATAAAAACACTATTTCAAAATCATATTTCCATAGGAAATTTTTAATGGTTTGTTGGGCATTTTGGAGACCTGTTTTGGCACTGAATTCCCCTATACTAATATCTCGCACAATAGCGTCCAGGACACCCTCGTCACCTGCTTTAATGTCCTTGACGTATATAATAAATAGTAGTTTACCAGCAAACGTGTCATCTGAATTGGAAGCCCAATTGTAAGCAATATATCTAAGGAGTGTAGTCTTACCCATCCCCGCTTCTCCTGTTATCAGTACTCTACACGGATTCGTAGACTTCATAATTTTCAATAATTGTGTTAATGATGTAGATTTTCCTTTCTTCTCATATCGTCCTATATCATATAGCTCCTCTTCGCCTCCCCTTTCAGATTTCAGTAATACCAAATCAGTAAATACTTGTGCAATGTCAATATAATGACCTTCGTTCCAGTTTGGTGGTGTGATTAATGTTTTATTCTTATACAAATCTTTCTGTTTTTCCAAAAAATATTTCCTAACAACTGCATCTGAAAGTCAGTAAATATATAGCAAATTTCTCAATAAATCAGTGCAAAATACGAATTAAATAAATAGTAGTAGTAACAGAACTCTTAATCGTAATCGTAAAAGCAATAATGATGATTATAATGATTATATTGATGACGACGACGTTCTTATAATTTGGGGTTTTTAAGCAGTGGAAATACGTCCTATAAATAAATATAAAAATAAATTTACTATAATAGGTATATAATTAATTACGGTATACAAAATAGATACTTCAATACAACTATGATTGTTATTTTTTAAAATGACGATGAAAATTAATAAATTAGATGTTTTTTTACCTTGTGATAGCCCTGGTATACTTTCATCCATTTTATGGGATTTTGTAGGACTGGATAGGTAGCTACACAAATATCCGATGCAAACACCGATGCAGACAAAGGCAAGAGTGCTAATCAATACTTTATTCAACAGAAAAATATCTAATGTCAAGTTCTTAGGTATACATGCAGAAATCCCTGTCACATATTTATAATAATATCCTATTGATACAAATAATATGGATAATAATATTGTTAATATTGTTATCTATAATACAATAGTCTCACTGACGATATATATTCACTATGGATTTAGGTTCAGCGATCGACTGAGAAGGGCTGGTTAGCACTGGTCAGAACTGGTGTTTATCTGTGCCATATTGAAGGCGTAGTTTGGCGAGAATAAGTGGTTTAATTAGTTAATTTATTATTTTGGTTTTCAAAATATAACTTCAATAGACGTAGGAACGCAGTATTAACTTCATGGAATACTGTACAACTGATTTAGCATTGATTGAAAAAAATCAGAATCACACCAGTGGTGTGTGTGTGTGGGGGGGGGGGGGGGGGGGCACGACGGGGAAAACACAATTCCTCAGGGAGAAAAGAATGTCTATAATAGAGTAAATTAACCTTTGCCACATTAATTTTCATAGGGGTTCGCTCTCTCAACCACTTCCGACCACGCCAATTTGCGCTCTCGTCGGGATTATCGGTCCTTCGTAGGGGCATCGGACCACCTGTCGGCAAATCCTGGCGCACCCCTGAATCAATATAGTTAATTAATTAACGGAGTGCATAATATATTGTAAACATCAGCATTATTTAGGGAGTAAGAAGGAATGATGTAAACATTTGAACTTGGAAACAATAATATTGATACAAATAATATGGATAATTATATTGATAATAATAATAAAACAATTCCTCAGGAAGAAAATATATGTGTATTTAAGAAAATGATTGTTAATTTGATGTGAAAAATATTGAAAATTACTTACTGTACAACTTGCTATTGCAAGGTAATAGAATCTTTGGCAGGCTCAAATCTTAAAGGAAAACAATTGTAATAATGATGATGATTATGAGTAGGCCTATAATTCAAAAATAAAGAAAATTACAGAAACTTGAAACCTGTAATACATTTACCTGAAATATGATTTCCTGAAGTTTGTATATCACCTTCTTCTTTGATTCTGATTCTCTCTCTCAGTTTTTAATAAGTAATTAGTATAGTTAAATTCCGTGAACAAGATTGAAAGTGTTTTAGGAGGTATGGACAATTAAAAAAAAATTGTGATATGATAAAAAGAAATTATTGTCCCATTAATAGGGGTTGAATCAATTGAATTGAGCACTTTGCACATTATAAAATGTCCCCGTCCCCTTATAGTTTTTCCCATGCATTATGTTAAGAAATATATTAGGGTGTCCCCTGAATGGAAGTGTTCTAAAGGAACGTTTTTACTGTATTACAAATGAAAAAAGCTCCACTATGATATGTGCTGAAGAACAATGTGAATCAGTGACTTAGTGAGTCAGAAAATTCTGGAGAATTGAAGAGGGAATTAAAATCAGAATTAATACAGGAATTAAGAAGTACTCGGGTTGAATTGAACAGATCTACAGTAGGTAAGTGTTTGAAAAACAGAACATAGGGAATTTCCGCATTGACATATATAATGAGAACTGTTATTGAAAATACTGTATAAACTAAAAATAATCATAAAATAAATATAAAGTAAAAGTAAAACCCATGGAAACCAACTCGACTTTAGTGAGACTCGAACTAGGACTGCAACAGCAATAGCGAGGGTGATGTGAACAGTTGTAACTACTGTGTCGTAGATAGAACCCGACCTTGCAGAGGAAATGTCTGAATTAATGTATATATATCCTAAATCTGTGTAAATTTGTATAATGTTTTTGTTTGAAACCGTGTTCAGGGAGACCAACTTTGATAGTAATTCAGTGTACTTTTTTGGAATCCATTCTCGGTACCGTTTTCAATTGTAATTTTTGTTTTGTTTGTTAAGATTATGAGAGAAAGTAAATGAAATAGAATGAAAGGTCTGTGCATTTATAGTTCGTCTACACAATTCATTAATAATTGTTAATAACTCCTTTAAACTCTTCATCATCAGTCAAATGATCATAACAGTGAATAAAACATACCGGTACCATAATCTTCTCCTAGAGCCTTTAGTGCTCCATGCACTTTATTTCGTTTTAACTTCTCCGTAAATTGTTTTATGGTCTTGTTATCGTCCTCTAATATTGTACTGTTTTCGAGATCCAAAATTAAACTCCACTTGTCTTTGTATTGCTGTAGTTGCGTTTTGTATAGTTTACCTATCTTTTCTACTTCTTCCATAGTCAGTGTCAATCCAAGCTTGATCAATTTTAACCTGTATTCACTGAATTCAGAAAGTACATTTTCTCTTGTGTATGATGAAAGTGTTGGCCTAAGTTTGTTTAACAGTTCATGTTGTTCAGTTGCCTTTATTGTGTCACAAAGAAGAGTGGGCTCTTTTGAACTCAGATGCCCAGCTGCTATTAATTCGTTTAGTATGTCCATCGTCTGATAAGCCTCATCCAGTTTAAAAGAATTTTTCACATGATCTCTGAAAACAACTTTCAGCATATTAATGTGACCCCGGTCATCATACCAGCCTGAAAAATCCACCAACAACTGCCTGAAGTCTTCACCAGAAATTACTAAGATATAAAATAATGTACAAATTAAAAGCATTAATAAAGAGGTTTTGGCGTTCAGAGTTGCCGTCATAATCAGTATTAGCTGTCGTCGTTGTCGCCGCCATCGTCATTGTCATCGTCATTATCATTACCTGCAAACATATCGTCTTTTAAGATAAATAACACATAAAATCCTGGTTTGCAAACAAGGTCTATACTAGATTAGCATTCCCTGTACGTTTTTTTAAACTCTGAAAGGATTCTATTTTTTTTTAAATCTCATCTTACCTTGTATACTTGGTTTAAAAAAAATTATAATGATCACAACAGTGAATAAAACATACCGTAAGCTTGTTCTAGAGCTTTCAGTGCTCTGTGTACTTCATTTCTCTGTAATTTCTCTTTGAATTTTTTCATGGTCTTGTTATCGTTTTGTAATATCGTACTGTGTTCGAGATCCAAAATTAACTTCCAACCGTCTTTGTATTGCTGTAAGTGCGTTTCTTCGTATAGTTCCCTTATCTTTTTTATTTCTTTCTTTTTCAATATCAATCCAAGCTTGATCAGTTGCAACCTGTATTTACTAAATCCAAATGTTAAATTTTCTCTTGTGCATGATTGCAGTGCAGGCCCAATTTTGTCTAACAGCCCTTTTTGTTCAGTTGCCTCTATTGTAGCACGGAGAAGAGTACGCTTTGTTGAACTCAGATACCCAGATCCTACTAGTTCGTTTAGTATGTCCATCGTTTTAGACGCCTCATCCAGTTTATGAGTATCCACATAATCTCTGAATACAACTTTCAGCATATCAATGTGACCCCGGTTATCATACCAGCCTGAAAAATCCACCAACAACTGCCTGAAATCTTAACCAGATATTTCTAAGATGTAAAATAATGTAAATGTATAAATTAAAAGTACATATAAAGAAAAAGAAAATATGCAGAAGACATGTTTACACGTGTTCATAAAAAATAAACAATAAAATGCGTTTGCAATTAAGTATACAAGGGAGCAGCATATTAGCTCAGTCGGCAAATCCGTGAAGATCTTTTCAGGTCTGCTCTGCTGATCTTTCGACTGGAGGGCTGAAATCCAAGTTACAATTTCTTCTTTTGAATAATTCATTCGATTTATTTAATTTTGGTTTTTTTTTTTACCTGTGAACCAATGTACACCATTTAAATCTAAGCTGGCAGAAATTTGGTTAATGTTTACTATACATTTTATATATTGGTTTAATTTTCATATTTTTGCATTAACTCCCCTTTTGGCATTTGTTTTGGTTTTGCTTTTAATTGTTAAAGGTTATTAAATATTGAGGCTCATCAAAATGAAATGTCAGTAGCACACAATGGACTTTCATAGGATTTAATGATTGCACTATACTAATACCTTGGTCTGTGCCATTTTCAGAGGCTATTAACACTTATTATAAGGAGGATATGTGAATAATTGTTTGATTGTTTACCTTGTTGCTCCATTTATTTTCCTTGTGGAATTCTACTTCGAACCACAAAACATTGAAACTTAAGTGATAGACGTTCCAATTCAAACAATAAGAACACATTTACTGAGCATGTTACTGCTGCTAGTTGCGGTTGTCCTGGGTTTTCATCTACAATGGTGTACTGGTATGCATTTAGTTTGTTCTCTTAGTTTTCGTGTTTCTTGACAGACTACAAATTAGACCATTACAATATGGGAATTAGATTGTCAACAATTTAGCAATTTAGTCTACAATTGACACGTTTAGTATATAAA